ACACTATATATATATATATATATAAAAAAAATAAAGTGCTAAATTAAAGTAAGATCAGAAGTTGAACTCTTAGTGCCAAATTCCCCCATTTAATTCAGAACTTTTAACAATGCAATACAGTCCAACAGCTCGGATTCCTTTGCCTTCAAGGCAAGATGGCACCAAAAGTAATTAAAACTATTAAAACTGCTGCACAGCTGGTCCAGAATGCACGAAACATTAGGAAGAACAGTTTCTGGCTTCTCTGTTCATAGCGAATATAGCAGATCCAGATCTACAGGAATTAGGGCAACAACACGTGCTACAGAGGTGAACAGAGAAGCCATTTTTATGTATGCCTATTTTAAACTGTAAGGGCATGACTTCAAAAGATCTTGAACTTGCCTGAAATTTTAGAAAATTACTTGGGATGCATTTAGAAAGATAGCAATTAGGCTAAGATACTGTTGCATCAGTTTGGACAAAGCTGCTTTGACCACCACAAAACTGAAGTTCAGATTTTAGTTCAGTTTTTACCTATCAGTGGTGTGCAAGGATAAGATGGTAAATCTTGTAAGACCACTACAAATCTATGTTCCTGTGACTAGGTATGTGTTAGGAAAAATATTTATCTACCCTCATTTGAATTTTTCTTTTCATGTGTAGCATTATCACCAACCTTGATTTTGCACCAATTTTATACAATGAGCAAATATATGAGGAAGCAGCAATCAGGATTAACCTGAAAAATATCCACTAAATTTCCAGAAGAAAAATGAGTTGTTATTGCTCACTGAAGGTCTGAGCCTCAAAATATGACAGGAGTATGTTTCAAATAATTCTGGTGAGAGCTAACAACACGTAGTTCGTGGTAAGGTATCAAATACCAGGAAGATAAGCATTTCATGTTGCAACTGCCAAATAAAAATGCAGCTGTATGCACATATTAGATGCCCATAACCACCATAATTTTTTCCACCAAAACTTTACCTTGAGTGCAGAAATATTTACAGCTTGAACATCACCTCCAAACTCTTCACAGACCACATCGTAAGCCAGCAACTCCTTCTTTACCCTTTCAGGATCAGCTTCAGGTTTGTCACATTTATTAATGGCGAGGATAAGAGGAACTAAAAAGAGAACAAATTCATTACCAACCTAACCAAAACTTGCTGCTACAAGCACAATTGCAATAAAAGGTTAGAGCAGGTTACGACCACGCAGAAACACAAATCATCTCACTTGGTGCCTATTCCCTGATCAGCCATGGAGATCTGAGCTACCATGAGTAAGCTGGAAGAGTTATCCTAGTAGGAAGAAGGGAAAGAAAAAAAACAACAACAGCAACCCCCCTCACAGACCCTATGACTGCTTTTCTCACAAACCTGCAAGTCTTGCAAAAATATTAGTATTTTAACGTCTTTATGTATTACTGCAACATTCAATATATTTTCAAACACCTTCTCAGGGGAGAAGGAACAGGACCACGACAGTTACTTCCCAAGTTCTGTGGATTCCAATTCAAAGACTTTCTGTCTGCAAAGTGCTCATTATTTGAGCTGCATAGTAACATACACTTTGTATATTAACTTTGTGTACTGGGACTGCCACTTACTTAAAAATGCAATATTAACAAGTTAAACACCGTACCTCCTGCATTTTTAGCGTGTTGAATGGATTCTATAGTTTGTTGCATCACTCCATCTTCTGCTGCTACAACCAGTATGACAATGTCAGTAACATGGGTACCTCTTGCTCGCATGGCTGAAAAAGCTGCATGTCCAGGAGTATCAAGAAAAGTTATCTTTTCCCCAGAAGGCAAATGCACTGTCAACAAACATATACGGTACATTTTTAAATCAACATTTCGCATAGCTTTATTTGACCTATTGTAAATCAAGCATCACTTCTTTGAGAGCTTTTTTAATCATAATGAGACAGATTTTAGCCAGAGATAACTGTTGGCATGGAGGTCAAAGGTGTTTTTAGCTCCTCAGGAAACAAAAAGCGTCCTGGAATCTTTCACAATCCAAAATGGTCTAAATACTATTTCAACTGCACAGACAAACCATGTCAAAGTTCCATCCACATATTTATGACTTGTGATAACTTATCATTTCCTTTTTCACTGCTTACATACAAACTATTTACGTTGCAACATTTTTCCCCAACAAACTGGCAGCAAGTCAGCCCATTAGGTAAGACAGAGCGTAAGCTGTTTTATACACATGCACATACACTTGAATCATACCAAGAAAAGCACCAATGTGTTGTGTAATGCCTCCTGCTTCCATTGATGCCACTTGAGTTTTTCGTAGACTGTCAAGTAAGGTTGTTTTCCCATGATCAACATGGCCCAAAATAGTAACAACCGGGGGCCGTGGGGTTAGTACTGCTGGGTCTGCAGGAGGCCTACAAGTAAAAATGTGTTTTGTAAATACCACGAAAGTTCACTGAGCAACATTCATGCCCACCATGGCTAACGGAGAGCCATTTACCAGAACTCAGCGACGAAGAGGTGAGACTAGCTTCTCCCCACTGTGATCACAAATCCTACCTACACCACAGAGTTAGCCCTCTTAATACTCAGTCTTACGGCTGCATAAATTAATACAGCAATTCAGTGTATCAAAGAACTGGCTTTTCTTCAGAAAACGGCATAGAAAAAGCTCACCTAAACCAAATCGAATCCAAGTATCAGTTTTATGGCCAAAGAAATCAAAATAGCAAACTTTACTTCTTAAATATCAGATCGTGACTATACCCGGTATTATCAAAATACCATGAGAACAAAGAAAATGCAGTATATGAAAAACACTTGCAGAAACAAATAGGATAAAAAGAGCCAAAAAGAACAGTTCACAACTTACCTTTTCACAGCATCTGTGTTTTCTCTTTCTTTTTCCTCTTTTAGTTTTGCTGATTTATACTTCATTCCTGATTTTTTAACAATTAGTTTGATATGATCTTCATGTAAGATGGAATCTGGTTCTAGTGAACCAAGGTCAATGTCTGTGTATAGCAGCGCTTCATAAATATGATCTGAAGAAAGGATAAAGGCATTTAACAATTACATCCACAAAAACATGTGGGACAACAAAACCCCTGCTTCATACAGTTTAAGACTTTTTCATTAGTAGTTTAAATCGTGCTAATAAGTTTCATTCACAAAGCATTTTTCCTTTAGTTAGATTTGTCTGAAAGTTCCTGTTATGCTGCATACTTGCAGAGAAGAACTTGATTCAGAGAGATTTACTGAAAATGGCTGCCTTGTTAGATGCTACAATCTTATTTTTCACTCAGATTTTCATAGCTTGCTTTTCCATTAATCCCAAAGAAGAGAACAACTGGAACTTATCTAAACGAGACGGCAAAGAAGTGATTCAAGGAGGAAGGAAATTTGACAAATCTGTTCATATGCCACTCTTTTGTAGCAAAAATACAGAACATACTGCACTAGTAAAAAATTGAGACACGCTGACCGAAGTACCATTACAAATCTATCTCACAAATGTACAGCAAGCCATGACAGATTTTTCTTTTCTGCTTCTCTTCTCATTGTCGAGAGGGAAGTTTGCCAGAAAAAGCACTCAGCTGGATAAAAAGAGATTGGAATTATACAGGAATGGTTCATGGGATTAAAAGAACAAGCCTGCTTGGGTAACCCAGCTGTTAGGGCAGTCACCTAAAGAGGGGAGTGTTTCCAGACAAGTCCTGCCTGCTCCTAGTTAATCAAATGACTGTTTTAATGAAATACATATTGCTCCTGAATCCGATTCCTGCTCCCAGCTGAATACCTAAGGGTTGAGTTATGGGCTGAAGCTCTTTTGCGCTTTCTCTCTTTAGCCATGAATTCTTTACTCACAGAGATCCATCTCTGACAAACCAGCGTGAAATGTTTTTCCTTCCAGAATAATTTAGCACTTAGGAAACACAGTTATAAAAAAGCAGCCTACGTGGATCTGAAGCCTTTCTGATAAGAGATGGAAGACAGTCCTGGCTTCTTCACATTAAAGTGTCTTGCCTGGTAATTTGGATGGCCCTACTTTTTTTCCTCTTTAGTCTGCCATTGTGTCTACCAACATTTTCTTTGGTATGGGTACAATCTACCTTACCAAAGGAGGGATTAGCAACCACTAACTGATGGCACAGTAGACATTTTCACCTTTACAACTCATGAAAGTGGCACAGCTGAATGAAACACAACAGTTTGAGGGTTTTTTTTATTACTCTCAAACAAGAGAGCAGGCTCTCACCTATGTCTTTACTCATAGCTCGTGCAAGTTCCTCAATAGTCATCTTCTGCCTTATCTCCACTTCACCTTTTGTCAGTGGTACCTTCTTTTTCTTCTTTTTTGTCTCCTACATGGAATTAGACACGTATATAGGAACACATAGCTGGCATAAACTAAGAAATAATAAAAACAGTATTAAAAAGACAATGGTCTCAAACCATATGATGTAAACACATCGTTTTTACTGCAATACTACTGAATTACAATAAATACATGACTTAACAGATCATACTGAATATTTAAAATGTATAGCGTACTACACAATCTTTTTTCATTTTTTAATTTTTCAAAACAAAGAGGAAAAACCAACAAAATAATTTTCATTTTTGTTTGTAATAATTTCCTCCTGCCTCTGCAAGATTCACAATGCTGCTGGTACAAGCACTTTAAATCAATATTTGAGAGGGGCTCACAATACAGTCATACATGAAGTACATTTTGTCTTATAAATTTAAAACAACTTCTCTATATTCATTAATAAGGCTCTCTTTTTTTTTGTAATTAAAATGCTCAAACTAAGCTCTTGTACTTTGAAATCTCACATAAAACCAGAGATTATTGGATTTTGTTAATTACCTCCTTTGTAGCTAGATGTCTGCGTTGCGATAAGGCAGTACTGATTAATTTGTCCTTTTGCCAGCACTGCGGATACAGAAGAACGGACCACACGGGATGTGCAGACGACTGCACAGGCTTCCATTGTGCTCTATAAACTTTTCTGTAGGAAAGAGTACGCAGCTGCCAGCAAGCACCACGTAACTGGATCAGATTTTCAAACTTTCGTATCAGACCTCGATTCATTTCCTCACTGAAAACACAAAGGACACACTGAAATCAGCCTCAAAGCTGAAAGATACTCTTTCATATGACAACACAGACAGGAACACAAAGCACAAATGTTATGTTTTGAAACAGGCTTTTTAATGCTGAAAAAGTTGAACTATTTAGTAACTGTTCCAGTTTTTCAGTTTCCTTAAGTGCTTCACCTTTCTCCACTATCCCATTGCAGACACACAGATCTACGAATATCACCACAGCTTACTAATCTTTCACCTATCTCCATGTATCTTTAATATAAAATACTAAAATACTCATTTCAGGTTCTCTGACATTACCTAGGGGGAAAAAAAAAAAAAAGGAAATTTGCACTCCTTGTGCTCTACTGATAGTTATCCAGGTGCAACCAACCCGTCTAAGCCAGTAAAACACATTTGCAAATACCACTTACATGAGCATATACCACCACCAAAAGACTAGAGCACTGTAGTAATACCAGTGTTGTCACATGGACAGAGAGGTCCTTTGAGGATAAGCCCTGGTTTAGCAATTAAGCTTTGCAAGATGCTTCTGTCAGATCATCCCACATCTTGTTTTAACCATCTTAACTTTGGTCTGAGTAAATGTACTAATTATCCTGTGCAACAGCCTCCTATTTGAACTTCTCTTCTTGTTCAGAGGTGCCTATTTTGTCCATCTGCTCAGTGATGCCATTCTCTATACCTTCTATGTCTTCTCTCAAAGGTGGCTTTGCACCATCTTCCAGGCAGCTCCAAATGAGTGAAATGCTATCAGTTCCTCTCAGAATGACTGCGGTCCGTTTAAAAATTCTCTTGTATCCGCATACCTGCAGGAAATGAGCAGATGACAAACTAACCAACCAAAAACAACAACTTTTTTTTTTCTTCCCCCCTCCCAAAGAGAGCTTTAAAGGCGCGGGATTGGTAAAACCAGGGAACCCTCAGGAGCTGCCATGCACACACCGAAAACTAACGTAAGGTCAAGGCGAGACTGGACAAGCTCACAGAGGAGAAATCCACATCAGGTTGCTAACTGCAAAGAAACCACTCCTGGCTCTCGGGGCCCGTGGGTCACCCGTGGCCGGGACAGGCGCACTCCTCTAGCTCGTACTCTCTTATACTCATCGTTTTGGCTAGTATTACAGAGAAGCCATCAGGCTACACAGACCTTTCGCCTAACAAACCGCGTTCACCTCCGGGGGCGGGCACGAAC